AACAAATTTAACATGAAACTGTAAAAATCACAACTTGGAATTATATGTCAAACAAGATAACATAGACTGTATGCATAAACCAGGCAAGCAATAAAAGGCAATCTTTTCAAAATGTCCTGGACCTCAAAACAAACTTAAATATTAAATACAAAAGAAATGTCAAAAGAAAAAACACCAATTAAAATAACCTTCATGTTTTTTTTTCATTCCTAATTAAGTCATTTTCATTACATTACATTGTTATTACAGAGCAATTTCTTTACTGCCCTTTCCAAAGTGAACACAAGTTACGTAATTTAAACTTGAATAATATTATCCTACAGCTACGTACTGACAATTTGTAAAGCTTTAAAAAAAAATACCCATGATCTAGCATAAGGTTAAGAAATACTCTTCTAGGCTGGGTGTGGTGACCCATGCCTTTAATCGCAGCCCTTAATACGCAAAGGCAGGGGGATCTCTATGGGTTCAAATCCAGCCTGGTCTACATAGCAAGTTTCAGGACAGCTAGGGCTACATAAAGACCCTGTCTCAAAAAACAAGCAGACAACAAAAACCCAGAAAACAAAACAAAACTCCCAACACTCTTCTGCACTTTTATATTAGGCAAGCTGCTTTAGGTCTCTGTCGTTACCTACACCACCCACCCCCTTCAATGTCTCCCTTACTTTGTCATAAATCACTTTTATAATGAGAGAGCAGCTAGGACACGTTGCCACATCTTCTCCATTCTCCAAATCTTCCTAGGACGAAATCAAACAACGTATGGTCAGCATAGCCTCCCTTCCGTCATCTTCCCACAAGCCTTTCCCACGTCTATGTGCAAGAATTGAATTGGGTAATAGCACAAAGAACTTCCCCCAAAGTGTCACCTAGAAAAACCGGGGAGATTAGGTTGTTTTGATCGCCCCCAAAATGCTGGGGTACAAAATCGAATCCCCTTCTCCAAAGAAATCCCCAGGAAAAGATTTTAAGGGTGGGGCTAGGGAGAACTGCGCCCCCTGGCCAGACCGTGTGCCCCGACAGCTTAGATTACTGCTTTAGCGGCGGGGTTCAGGAGAACACGTGGGTGACAGCCTAGCCAGGGACACCGGAAGGGAAAATGCGCAAGCTCAAGGAGTCGCCGATGGGCCCTGAGGGTACCTTGGTGATGGAGAAGTTATCCCCACAGGGGCAGGGGTAGAAATAGGTCTCCGAGTCCTCGTCATATTGAAAGTCCTCGATCTCCACCTCATCGTGAAACACCGCCATGGTCACAGGGTGGACGCTACATCAGTTTGCTTAACTCGGCCGGCCGGTGATGGACGGCCCGGGCTTCCCGGTTGGCCCGAAAGCAGGGATAATCACTTCCGGGCTGCGCAAGGCGATGACGTAACTCCGACCTCGGAGCCAAATGGGTGACCGGGTCGCGGTTGCCATGGAGATAACCGAGCTGGGGTACTTATTGCCGCAAAGGTGACGCTTACTGCGCAGCTGGTTTGCGCAGCGCCCCGCCCACTGGGTGGCAGTGACCAAAAGTGTGAGGGGCTCTCTCACACGGCTGCTGCGTCACTCCGGGGCCGGGGAGTTCGGGTCTGGGTTGTAACTGAGTTGTCTCCTTTGCCGGAGGAGTCTCGTCCATCACTGACTTCAGGGAACCTTAAAGAGTGGGCTGGAGGCTACGGCCCTTATCGGAGGGGGGCGCCTGGTCACCCACGCAGCGTCCTCTCCAGTCCGCAGTGGTTGACAACAGCGCTCCTGGAATTGCATTTCAGCCGACCTTGAGCGCAGAGAAGCCTGGCCTGTGTTCCTGCCTGCAGGTACATCG